GAGGGGGAGAAGTCACCCCACTGCGGGCAGGGGGCTGAGATGGGAGGGGAGAAATCACCCCGGTGGGGAGTGGGGGGAGGTCACCTCACTGCAGGCAGGGGCGGAGATGGGGGCATCACCCCACTGTGGGCAGGGTACCCCCCCTGCCCACCCCCTGGGAACGGGCCGTGTTCTGTCTCACCCCCAGATCACCTGCCGGACCCTGTGGCACCTGGTGCGGCGGCGGCTCCGCGACAGCCTGCGGACGCTGCGGGTGCGGGGCACGCTCTTCTCCGGCGGGAAGCAGCGGCTCCTCTCCCCCGCGCTGCTGGCCGCCCTGGGGAAGCGGTGTCCCCAGCTCCACCGGCTCTGCCTGGCAGAGACAGACCTCCGCCCCGTCCCCTACGAGAGCATCCCCCCTTCCCTCACGGCGCTGGAGCTGAGTCACTGCGAAATCCCCGCCGCCTGGTTCTGCGGCTCTGCCGCGAGGGCCCTGCCCCAGCTGCAGCACCTCATTGTCCACGACGTCCCTGCCTTTTCCGATCACCATCTGCTGAACGTCACCTCCCAGAGCCGCCTGAAGACGCTGAGCCTTTCCGGCACCTACCGCGTAACCGATACGGGGATTCAGAGAGCGGCTCCGCACCTGGAGGAGCTGGAGCGCCTGGTGCTGCGCCGCTGCGTCATCGGCGACTCCGCCGTGGACTTTGTCGGGCGCCACATGAAACATCTCCGGTTCCTGGAGATCAGCGGCGCTTACTCCCTGACGAACGCGGGTCTGGCTTCTTTAGCGACCCTGCAGCGCCTGGAGTCGCTGTGCCTTGACTTCTGCAATAAGATTTCCCCCGCTGCCGTTATTGCTTTGTGCCAAGCGCTGCCCCGGCTGAGGGATCTCAAATTAGGCGGGGCTCGCTTTGGAGACGAAGTAATCGATAAAATTCAGGCGAGTTTGCCCCACTGTAGTTTTTCACGTGCTCCTTGACAGGCAGCCTGAAGCAGCGGGGCTTTTGTCATTGTTTTACTGTGCCTCAAGTGCTCCTTTTTGGGTAAAGTCCCTTTTCCTGGGGGCTGCTGTACGTATTTTTGGGACAGAAGTTTTGTCAGGGCTAAAGCAGCAAGCGTGTCGTGTAAAGTGGTTTGTCGGGAACTTGCTTTTGGGAGGATCCCCCCTTTTCCCCGGCTCAGGGGAACGGGGAAGCCGGGGAGCACCCAGCCTGCGGGAACCCCGCTGGCGAGCTGACCAAAGACGGGCTGAGGTTACCAGCTTAACCTCTGCCTGCTCCTCTTCCCCCGCCGCTAAGCATCAGGCGGCGGCTTAACGAGCGCAGAATTCAAGGCGCAAAGCGAGGCACCCTCTTGCCACTGAAACAAAAAAGGTCTGGCAGCCCAAACCCCAGGCTTCCAGTTAATACCTAACTCCGATTGCTCAACCGCCCTGCACGCGCGCGCGCGCTCCAGACTCTGCCGGGGAAGAAATACCTCAGCGAGACGTGCCAGAGCTGCTGGTTTTTAGCAAGAGCTCAGGCCATCTGCCCAGACAGCGAGCGTTTTCAGTCCGAGATGTCATCTTGCTTCTACTTACCTTCAAATTCAGTTCTTCAAGTTACTTTTTGGGAAGGTTTTGGTCGCGGGGCTTCCCGAACGCCATTTTTGCGCGGCAAGCGGGCTGTCGGGCGTCGCCGGGGGCTGCCGTTACCTCTGGGTTTTGCTGGGCCGTGCAGCGGCAGCAGCCACCTTTCCTCGTCGCTTTTTATCGTCCGCGTTCTGCTCCCCGCAACGTCAAACCAGATAACCGAGCGCCGCGACATTGCTGTTCTTGGGTCGTTGAGTCGGCCAAGGATGTTTTTAAATCAAATGTTGTATTTATTAAATAAAAACGGGTTTATGTTTTGTCATGCTGCAGTGTTTTAACTGAACTAATGTCTTTGTTAAAATAAAGAAGTCGGGCAGCTTTTGACACCGAGCAGCGTCCTCGGGTGCTAACAGCTAAGAGATGAAGGTACAGGCGGGGACCCGGAGCCAGGCCGCGGCGATCCGGAGCTTGGCACAGGAGCCCCTCAGGGGGACCCATCGATTTCTGTCCCGATTCAGTCACCCCGTCAGTCCCGGCAGAGCTTTTCCCTCAACGGCGGGGAAACACGTGGAATTACAGAGAGCTCAAACGAGCGCCCAACTCCTGGATCCTCTTAACTCCCCGAGAGCTACGTTGTTCGCGTTCTCCCTGATCCCGACTGAGCCGTGAGCTGACGTTCCCCGCAGAACATTAAGCTCTTTTTTTTCCCCCCCCTCCGCGGGAGCTGGGAGAGACAAGAGCGTCCTCCTCGGAAGCACAGCGGAAGGATCAACGTCTCAGCCGAGCTTTTCGGGGCTCGGCCTCGAGCGCGAGCTGTTTCCCCCCTCCGTTCAGCTTACGCAATAAACCCTTGGGTTTGGGGCAGACCTGGATGGCAGTGACCCCCCGTGTGATGAAATCCTCCTTGCTCTGCATCTCGTTAACGGCCGGTCTTTGTGCCCTGGCCTCCTTTCCGTTCCTCTCCACAATCTCAGTGCAGCTTTGGGGCAAATAAACAACGGTAAAACGCCCCGGCTCTGCTTTGGAAAGCATCCCAAGGCTGCTGGCTTAATAACCGCCGCGCCGCCTTTATCACGGGCCCAGATTTACGCTGGAGTAATTAGCGTTATTAAAACTTCAAGCGCTATCTGTCCCAGCGCTCTCTGGGCTCGGAGAGCGAAGGTAAAACAGCAAAAGGGGAAATTAAAAACAGTAAAAAAAAAAATCCGTCAGTCAGTCGAGGCGCAGCTCGATGCGGCAAGAACCTAAACGGTCCCTCAGTGTTTGCAGTGCGACGGTTGCGAGCCTGACGGCACGGCGCTCCGAACAACGGAATTTAATATCCGCCAGTCCCAACTTGCCAGTTTTCCACCATCTCCGCGGAGCGCATAATACCACGGAGCAGCAATTACAAGTTTCTGTGGCACAAAGTGGGCTTTCGGCAGGAGGGGAGCTGCAAATATGGGATGACCAGGGGCAAATTATAGGAATAAAGGACTGAAAGGGTCTTCTGGCATCGTTGGTTCTGTTTCTGCGCAGCTCACCCTCCTCGCCCACCTACTGAAGCCTTTGGAGGGCTGTCCTAGACCCTTACTGCTTCCAATTTCCAAATTCGGGGGGGTTCTACTCGGTTTATCTCCATTTCATCTTTTGCCAGCCTTTAACTTGAACGCTTCTTCCCCCAGCCCCACCTTACAGCCGGCTATACGCACATCACGGCATCAAAGCCCAACTTTTTTTTTTAAAAATACAGAATAAAAGAGTTAGAGAGCCAGCCAAACCCTCAGCAAAGCCAGGGCGCGAAGCGGCTCTCGGTGTCCCATCGGGGCCGAGCGGAGCGAAAGGCGACAACCACCAAAGTGAAGAGAAAACGGAGAAAGGCCCTAAACTTTCTGGGTGATCGCTCACCGCGGGGAGCGACCCTCCGTCAGCAAGCTGCTCCCGCGCCTCCATCGCGCGCGGATTTACATGGTTCATACAGGTGCTTTATTAGGCCCGGCTCCGTTTTATTTTCTTGGGGAGCTTGCTTGTGCCTTTGGCTTTGCTTTCCAGACCAAAGACCGTTTCCTATTTTCCAGACCCGCTCGTTTCCGCACGTGGAGGAAAGACCTTCGGAAACTTGAGAATTTCCCCTTTTTTAATCCAAAGGGATGGGGAAGAGTTACAAACAAAAAGGGGCACCCAACTTGGCTGGAGGAAAAACCTCCCGACAGCCGAATTATTGGAAGTGGACACAATCCAAGCTGCGATTTTGTGAGGACAAACCAATAGGACGCAGCCTGAAAAATCGCTGGTTAAATTATAACCTTTGGACTGAACATCCCTAGGGGCATTGCACGTTCTCTATTCCAGCGACCCTGGGGAAAAAGCTTCTGCTTACTTGGTCCTAAGCTGCATCCCGCTCCCCGCCAGAGCTTACCGGGATGGACGAGGAACATCTTCACGACGACCTGCACGTTTTTGAAGGTAAACTTCAGCTGCGCCAGCCCTTCAACCCACCACCTCGAGGAGATGGGCAGGAGCAAAGAGGGTAACGAGACTGTATCTTGTAGCACGGTCTTCCTCCACCGACGCGCTTGGTTCCTGAGGGGGAGGAAGGTCGGTGCTCTCCTTTCTCCTCTGCTTAAGCAACTTGGCTAATGAGCTCTAACGGGGTTGGTTGATTGATTGGGATGGGGAACCCCACCCTGTTGAGCTTGGCCCTGGGGTTGAGGGAACGGGACATGGCCGCAGCTGTGGGCTCTCCCTGCGATGAAGGTCTCTTGGTGTGGTGAAGCTGGTGCTGCCCAACCAGCAGCACCTGAGAGGGTTCAGCCTTGGAAGTGCCCTGGACCCGAGTAAAATTAGGCTTTTCCCGGAGCCTTCCCAAGTCGAGCTCCCCAATCCGGGTGGCCCAGCACCCTCGCAAAGCTCCCAAGGTTGGACCTTGGGACCCACGGGCATTTCCAAGGTTTGGCCCCGCCGAGAAGGCACCCGATGCCAGCCAGGGAGAGCAAAGAGCCCTCCAGACCGCGGACTGTCACCTGGGGAACCATTTCCCTTTTGAAAAGGGTCACGGGACAGCCAGGAGGGTTTAAAAACACGTCACAGCCCCAAATACACGGTGTAAACTTAACATTTCTTATTTTGCTTATGCGGTACCCGAGATCGCCTGCCCTTCAGCAAGCGCTACCACCACGCGCCGTCTGACAGCCATCAGTTTTGGGGGGCTTTCGGCCCCCCAGCTTGGTCTGAGCAGGAATTATCATCAAAATTTTGGCTTCTGTAGCAAATAGTTAACTATTCCGGGTTATTTATTAACCCTTCTATAAATGGAACCAGAGGAGCCGTGAAAAAAATCACAGTGATCCGAGGGGAATATTTTCACATCTCTCTTTTTTTTTTTTTTTCTTTTAAAGACAAAAACTTCTTCCAGCAGAAGCTGAGATCCTTTTTCACGGTATACTTGCTCCTGGCCCTCTCCTTCTTGCTGATCATCACCCTGTTCGCCGTGTCCTTCTCCAGAGGTACCGCAACATCTTTGAACTAATTAATGAGGCAGGTAGGACCAAGAGATACGTGAGGGCTGAGCGCAGGCTCGTGCTCTGGAGGACTTTATAGGTCCTAATTCCACAGGACGGGGCGACCAGAGGAGCTCCCAGGCTGTCCCATGTAGTGACCGCCGACGTCCACGCCACCGTCTATATATAAAATACCGGCTAATGCAAGCTATAAGCCGGTATTTGAAGTTTCCTGGGATTTCTTTGCCCCATAGGCTGCCGGAAAAGCGCGTCCCCAGCAGATTAAACAAGCCGGAACGAAAGACGGCGTTAGCCTTGCCGGGGTGAGCTCCTCGCGGGCAACCCTCGGCGCACGGGTGCAACACAACCGCTGACCCAGCGTCTCTCCTTCTCTCTCTCTCTCATAGTTTCAGCCATTTCTTCTAAGCTCAACGAGGTGCACCCGGAGTGGAAACAGAACTTTTCCGGCAGGGATTTTCTCTGTAAGTCCCGGCTGCTGCCCAAACCCACAAGTTTTTTCTTCCCCTCTGAAGTTCCCCTAAATTGTCCCCAAAGCGTTCCCCCGCTCTGGAGCGCTTCGCTAAGGCGGTGCAGGGCGTCCGGCCCCTCCTGGGTTTCCTGCTCTGCCAGCACCAAACGCTTTTATATTTTAGAAAAAATACCCCAAATTTTCCTTGTGGAAGAGGCTTTTTCGGGTGCCGGTTGCCGCCTTCGTGGCAATCCAATATACAGCAAGCTTCGGGGCTGTGCCATTGTGTCCGTACCAGTTTGGCACTGGAGCGCTGCTGGGAAAACCCTCTGGCTGGGACGAGCCCAGCGAGGACCAGCTCGACTGCCCACAGTCCCCCTGACTTCCCCCTCATCCTTCTTTCGCCAGTGTTTCCCTGCGGACCCGGATCCAGGGAATGGGAATACTTTGACGGCAAATGT